AATAACACAGGGACAATAAAGGCCCAGCTCAAACGCTTCTGGAAGGACAACCAGCAGCTGAAAGTTAATTCAGACGACAGAACTGTCTAAAAACGCAGCTTATGTGACAGTATCTAATGGAAATAAAAAGTTATAATGAAGAATAAAACGCCGCGTACTTACTAGTTTTCATTTGTGTAACTCTCAAGTCCTTTTCCACTGCCTGAGCCAATTATTAGAGAAATAACTATTGGTAAGATAGGGAAACCTATAGGATAAGAAATGGAAGCAGCTCAATAACTCAAGAACACATAGGCCTACAAGAGTTTAAAATGAAAAAAATCAGTTCAACAGGATGAGGGAGTACTACAAAAACAATAACAAATCAATAACAACAAAAAAATAACAACAACAAAAATAATTACAACAACAACAAAAGAAAAAACAACAACAATAGACAAGATACGGTCAACCAGAATACAAGAAGGTCCGTTCCTATCATGCGTTGCAGTGGTTGTACTGGCCTCAGTATTCTCTTTCACATGAAACATGCATCGCTATACCAAGGAATATTCCTCTTTTCACTTGTGGCTAATAGCTACTCGTGCGATATTTTGTGGTATACAAGTAGATATCACCGTCATTATTTTCATCACCGTAGCAATGACATTATTACATTTCTTACCCCAGCCAAAGAAATAGAGGTATCGCATTTCCACTGTGTTGAATACTTCAACAATCATTACGTACAGGAAAACTCCCTCCAGAAGCATCCACCCAAACGCTGCCAGATAGAAGTAATGGAGTAAAACAGCCACTAAGATGCACACGGACTGAAATGTGAGACCCAGAAGTAGGCTGATAATTAGAGGCTCCGAGCAAATATCAGGCCAAGAGACTTTGTACTTCATAGAGATCTTAGACCAAAATTGGTTCCGGACAAGGAAACTCGTCTTCTAGAAATACGCAATAGTGTAGACTGAAGTAGCCAGAGCCAAATATCCAGCGAAAACATGTCTTGAAATTTCTAGTAGAAATTCTCTCTCAGTGTTGTACATATAACGCCTTACGGGATGCTCAGTTCATCCTGGAGAGATTCGAGAGGATTGGTTTTCGAAACGGGAATAACGTGATGCTATCTCAGAAGAGATCACCTTAGGCAGTAGGTGTTCATCGCTTACGAAGAACGAAGAAATATGTGATTTCAAACGTTTGTTAGCTCACCTTATTACTCGTGGCCTCGATTCCGGACAAAAATACTAGTTGAGCAAGAAACAGAGCTGTGCAAAGATTCAGCCTGACTTGGATTCCTTCTGCTTTGATCTTCCTGTTCAATGTATTTAATGAACGAAATGGGCATGACATTTTTCCTCGCAATCACCTAGTAGTCTAGAGCAAACGCTACTGGGGAGGAATGGAAGAAAGGTGCCTATATAGTTTGTAATATATTATTGGGTTGTTCTCTGCTTGTATTCCATTACTATGAAAGATGTTTAAAAGTTTATAATAATAGGTATTTCTGTGTCAAAATACCTCAACTTCAGTCGAAAAAAACCGAGATATTTTGGTGCAATGGTTCCTTAATTACTAATATCGTCTTAAAACAATTTTTTTTAGGAACAAAACAAAACCAGACAACTAGCGCGTTCTGCAAAATAATATTTCTCGCACTTTGATAGTAATTTACGAATCTAGAGATTTACCTTGCTCTTATGTATAGGTAAGACATTTTTTCTTCTTTTTTTTGCTTTTGTTTTTTGTTTTTTAGTAGCACTCACATAAATGTCACGTAGACGAAGATAACCATTACTTCTCCAACGAGGGACAAGGAGCAACCAATATAGGTGATGATGAGCAATGCCCTTCTGTGCTCGGATGGAATGTTATCCTCCTGAGAATCACGGAAATGAGTTAAAAATTGGAAACTGCTTTGGAAATTATGACTAACAAGTTTTGAGTTCGTTAAACATGAAACTTTCCCCATGATTAGTCCGTCCATAAACGAATAAAGGGGGAGAATGCAATAAGCTTAGAAGATGCCAAAAAAAAAAATTCGAGACGCAATCACGAGAACGACAAATAACTTTAGGAGGATGTGCATAAGCGACACACGTGTTTTTTTTTCTTAGTTCCCGACAAAGCTAATTAAGACAATTGAAAAGAACGTTTATAACATCACACCTCAATGTCCTTGTATTGCATTAGAACTGCGAAATTCGTGAGGTGGTTACAACTGCAAACGGTCGATAGCATCGAAGAATCATTCAGTACCGTGCAACCATCAGTTGACCATGAACCGTTCGACGAGCTAAAAATCAGTTGATCATAAAATTTGAATAAGAAAGAAAGAAAGAGGCAAAGAAAAAAATAAAGAACTTTCACGAGCACCTAATGTAAACAAGTATATAGATATATATACAAACAGATTGATGGAATAATCAAAATGACCTACCTGAAATCCTCTATCCAGAAGACACATTTCCTTTCAACAGCTTTTGGATCAATGCTCGGCTACCGGCGAAAGAAGCGTAATGACGTTATGATGTGAAATGGTCCACGTGATGAATTATACTACTTTTTCCATCTAAGCCCAATTACAATCCTAATTCTCTAGCCGATAATTGCATCAAAAAACAATATAGTTTATTTTACCTCGTTGTGACTAAAATGAATGATGATTTTATTTTGAATAGTTTCATTCTGGGGAGGGTCAAGAACAACTCCCACGACATCAGAGATCAGTCTGTAGCTACAAAGACAACATAACAAAATTGTGTGATTATTAGAGAAGTTGAGTGTCAAATATCCAATCCGGGATTGTATATTTTTGCTTCACTCTACACCGTGATTTTGCCGGAAACCTTGCATCACTCTCTCAACCAATCGCATGCAAAACTAATAACAACAATTATTTTGTCCTCTGCGTTTTCCCTTAAGTTGAATTGGGCAGCTTTCTTGGTTTTTGTTTGAGTTCTTATTGGTTACTAAAGGGTATTTTTGGTTTTAGTTTTACGACACTCAATCAAAAAATGCTCGATCTCATTAGTAGCTAATCTTACATGAATATAGATCCTGCCATTTCCTGCCATTTTCCCCCCAAGAATCTGAAAACGTTAATTTGCAAACTGAAAACCTAAAGTTTAAAGGAGCTTTCTAAATATAAAGTGCTGTTTACCGGTATCGGTAAGGTTTTAGCATATGAAAATCTCCTCCCATTTATGCCCTCCCTTGAGTCGCTATTGAAGAACAAACAATTCAAACAGTAATTTTCCACTCATCCAGAAAGGGCTCTCTTAACATACATTTAATGGGTTCATCTGAACTAACAAATTCGTACCTGCTTCTGTTATAAGTCCAAAGGCTGTCTTCATTACTTGCCTTCTGGTGCAACAATACTGCGATAACCCTTCCTGGAAGAATGGCCAAAAAAAAAAAAAAAAATACTACGTGAGTAGAAACTTGCCTACAGAACAAAAATGATAAATTCGCTATTTTTAAACACCAGATGATCATAAATGTGTGCGCTCAGAAGAAACTTCAATATTTACCTGCGTCTTTAAACACTTTGTGGGTGATAATAATTCTGACCAATCGGCTTTCATTACTGTTGTTATTTGTATCAAAACTTATTTCAATATCAGTGGAAATTCCTTTCGGCACTTTTCTCAACTTAGTATCTATGATATTTCAGAGAAAAAAAATCAGAAAATTAGTACATAGAGAACGACGAACTTTACCAAATAAGCCTTTTATCGTGGGCTATGACGCTACAGAATTCGTGACGTCATCCAAGATGGCGGCCATCTGACAGCCACCATTTTGGAACCCATTTCAAGACAAAAAATAGGTTTTATTTTGGCAGCAATCGTCTCGGAATTTGATCTTAAGCGACCGAATGATTCAGAGGATTTTCAGAAATATTTCATTGAGTTGACTTAAAATCTGACGGGTTTATTGAAGAGGACTCCTATTTCTTTTGTCGTATGTCGTACGTTTTTACCATACCATATCATTTTTATCAATGATACAGAAATTAAGACCCATGTTGACACAATACGTACTTACCCAAACCTGATCCCATATCTATGAAATAAATATCATTCCCTTCTCTACAATAGTTTTGACAGCAGTTCAGGAGTGTGTCCTCGATTTGGCAGCTACCGACCAATGTACTATTATGCTCTTCACAAGACCAGGAATATTGTAACGCCTTTGATACAACAGGAGAAGCATGAACAGTTAAAGGGTTAATTTTGCTAAATACAACCAGCTGAATTGGAATAGTTTGCTTAAATTGAAATCACAGATGATGCTCTATTTGGTTGGGAGTAAGAATACTTTTTTTTTTAAAAGTGTATGAATGTATTTTACCTGCAATTTTGAACGAGTTCCTTTACTTCGTGAGCACTTTGAAAGCTGCATGAAAAAGAAAACGTTTGATTGGAGTCAACTTATGAATTCAACGCATAATATTGGTAAATCTTAATTTGTTCGCGAATACACAAAGCCACTGAATAAACCATGATCTTTATTTACCAGATATTGGCGGCAATCATCTGTATAATTAGGCATAATACCATTCGGATCGGAATCATCTATAATTGTTAAAGAAAAATGAATGATTAGCAATGGGGTCAGTTTTGTTTGCTACACCTCGGTGTAACCCTTGAGCTCCCAGAAGTGAATAACACGTAGGGTTTTTTTCACAGTTTTCAATACGTTAGTTGATAAAAGAGTGGTGAAAACGAACGCAAAGTTGTCTTCGTAATTCATTTACAGATTAATAAAGACGTGTAGACCAGCTACTTTTTATGGTAATTTAGCGAGTCCAAATTGACAATAATGTTATGTCAAGGTTTCTTTTGGGGTTTTGGAATGAGCTGACTGTAATTCTTAACATTAATGATTAACTGGTACAGAAGAAAATCTTCGTAAGAAAGCTGCATTTAAAAGAAATTACATTACAGAAGTATGACATAATTGCTGAGCTACGAAGCTACACGTTGATAGTTAGGCAAATGTTATCGAAGCCATGTAAATATTGATAAAGATTGGTAGACCTCACCGATATAGGAGGCTACAACAGGAAGTCTAACGCTGCAATTCATCGACTTCAGCTTCATCGCAGAGTTACTTATGGCATAACAACGGTCCAATGATGTTGTGTTATCCAGGAGTTCTAAGGGTACCTGAGCTGAGATATAAGGTACACGCCCCCATTGAAACGAACCATTGCTATTGAGTTTTAGAGCAGTCCAGTAAGCAGAATCGAGTCTTAATTCGGGTTGCACGTCACAAAGCTGTTCTATACTGGAAATTCTTGCCAGGGCAGAGTCAATTGCAATAACTGCTGCATTCCAAGTAACTTTAGGTGCATCAAGTGATTCGTAGACGAAATAAGAGGAGTGAGTTTCTGAAAAGTGATGAAAATTTTTTTTTTTTTAAGCTTTGCCTTTACAAATGGTAATGTATTTTGAAGTCAGGGTTTTTATAATTGGGAAAATTTACAATTGATTCAATATATTTCACGATTTCACAATTTCACCATCTCAGATGTCAAAAGTAAAAAAAAAAAACAACAACAACAACACACAAACAGATTGACAAGATACCACAAATTGTATCAAAATATCTGACTGCGTTTATTACTCCGTCGTTGAAGAACTACAAAATCAGTTCAATCCCCCGACAATCAAATGAAATCTTAAATTTTGCATTAAACTGTGCAAAACAACCTTTACATTGTAGATGACATCTATTAACTACACTATACCCTGCTGGCATCCTCTTCTTAGAGTAAAATCAATGCAATTCATGTAAGCACTCGTGCATCAAAAGGCCGATTTCCTGTACAATTTATTAATCATCATCTATTTTAGATACCGTGCCTTTATGAATGCAGAAATTTGCTGTAAAACCAAATCCAAAATTATGCTTGGTTCATTTTAAATGAAATCAAATAACATGCAAATTACCCTTCCTATTCAAGACCAGTTCCACTCTTTCCGTCTACCCACTAAATAGAATATTTTTCTCCTAATGCAACAGAAAAATAGTGTTTATCATTTATTCATTGCTATCAAATGCGAGATTTATCGTAACAAAAGAGCCCGCAAATTTAAGATTTATTTCACATAATACATCTTCCCCGATTTAACGCCGCCTATGACATAATTATAGGAAGCATAATTGGCGTGATGTCTTATTGTGTAGACGTAGGCATGGCGCGTATCTTCTGCAAACACTGTATGCACTCCTAAATAGATAAATAGCATTTTTATCGAGCGTTTATTTCCGTTTTTTTGCGTTTTTTAGGAACCTATACTAAAACTACATGACAACAACTGTTTCTTACTTAGAATTTTACGCTAAAGGAACTGGCATATTATGGATAAATAACATTAACTCTTGATCACAGACAGTCAATTTTAAGTTCCTTATGCAATAACGAGAAACATTGAATTGATATGCTTATTGTGATATTTACTGTTCAAAACAGACGAATCCAAGATAAACTGCGATTAGGTTTGGAGTAAAGATTATAAAGTGAAGCGGGTCCTTAACTAATGGGATTTCGCTGAAGTTAAATAGCATATGATAAGATAACGAAAGTAGATCTGATTCAGAGCGGTGAAATAGCTTGAAGATGATAGTGATGCCGTAAACCTTCTGGAGTTTCGAGGAGAGCTTTGTTACTACGATCATTTCCAACGTCTATAATTTAAGATTTTTCTACGGATCAAGTTTTGAAGGCACTTGATATTTCCTGAATAACAAATACTAACGCTAAAGGACCATCCATGTCAAAACAAACAGTTCACTAGAGGGTTATATTTAACAATCAAAAAATATTAACCAGTGACAGAGACTTGCTTTAAATAGCAGGAAAAGAAAAAGAAAATAAATGAAATTGGTCTAAAAATACGAAGTTTTTATATAAAAAATGTTCTTTTGCTGTATTTACACGTTGTCTAAAATTTCGTGTTCGTTGCAAGAAAAGCATGTCGCTTGATTGCCTTTCAGTGTTGAATTAATAATAACCGTATATCCTCTTCGTCTTCAATTAAAATAGAAAAGCATAGCACAATATCACTGAAAAGTAGCTCTTACCTTGAAAGAAGTGAACTAGCAAAGTCAGTAACATTTGAAAACGCAACCGAGTTGAATCCTGTCCCGCTTGATTCATCTTCCATCCGTCGGTTGAACTAACGAGGAAACTGGTCTTATTTAGACGCATACATAAATTAAACCATCTGTCAAAAATCCATTAACGTAACTGAGCTTCTAGACGTCGCGGTATATTTCAACTACGATCAATTCTGCTGAAATCCGCGGATCGATTTTCAGGCAGTTTTATATCTGTAACAGACTGTCGAGATGTCATGCATTACTTGTGATAATTGTTCTCACGAGAGAAATATTCTAAACCTCAGTATAAAATATATTCACAGTTTTAATATTATCCTTACTTCTGTTGCTTTCCGGCTGGCAATTATAGGTTCTAATGTGCACTTTGAAATAAATGTATAGTCATACAAATGGAATGCAATTACTACATCGAATCGATAATCTTTATGAGTGAGCCTGTAAAACGGTAATTCAAGTTTTTGTAAGGATTCAGCAATTCTTCCAGGTGTAAGCCAAATTCGTATATTTGTATTTGTGTATATTCTCCTCGCCGTGCAATCGAAATTAAATTTTAGAATCCGTGACCGAACGTGGCTATTTCAACGTCAGTCAGGTTTCATAATGACTGTGTTTTGCATGCTCTTGCTAATTTGCTATGATGATTAAAATGCGTTCCGTCATTTTATTTAAAAGGATAAAAAATTGTCGGAAGAATACAATATTTTAAGGACTCAAATTTCGAAAGCATTTCGAATTTTTCCGTTATCGACACAATTTTAAAATATACCTAAAAATACTACTGTAATGACGATATCTTACTCATAATCATAACTACTGTCGCATGTTAAACAGTTGACTTGATTAAATTTTTCAAGGAAAAGCGACGGCATATTGGCCAAAGTTTTGAACGGTCACGATACTAGAAACATCTCCTTGTAATCCAATTGACTTATTTCGATCCAAACCCTGGTTTTCTTACACAATATTTATAGATGGGGTATTCTTTTTAAAAGAGTTTTATGAATGTGACTCATGGCAATTTGGCATGTTGGCAACATCGTGAACTGTACGATGGCGATACTAAAGAGAAGAAAAAACTTAAAGCTTTCCCAAATTGTCAGCATTTCTCCCCGAAGGTCCTTAACTATTAATTAAGTCTTAGAGAATCGTATCGCACAGATAACAGGGTTCTTACGAAAATCTGCTCTACAGCTATTTGCAAAGCTGAAGTAGACGAAACTTCATTTGCATTATGGTACACATGTATGACTCTGCAGTACACCTGCTTGCGTTTCCAGTTAGAGTTGTTATATAACTTCAAAAGCTTTATTTACGACAGCAAGTTGTGCACAATGGCTCCTACATCAGCTATTTTTGGCTGCATTATCATGCTAATAAACATATTCTGTACCTGAACCTTCTGGGCAGACTTTTTATTTATATTTCGACAAGTAATATTTATATTTTTGCATGTTTGGTATATAACACACGCTCAGAAAGCACTAACGCAGTGCACAGTGTTCTAAACCCTGAACGAAGTCATTTTAAGCTTCTCAACAGATTGCATGTTGAAAAATAATAAATTTGAAAACAATGCATAATAGAGAATAAGAAAGACAAAATAAAAAACGTTTGTGAACCAAGAGAATAGTTGGCCCATTATCATATTTATGATCGCATCCCGACGACTCAGTTATTAAAGTACAGCGTCATTTCACAATCTAGCCAGTGTACATGTGATTCTTACTCCATGATGTAAACTGAAAAAAAAATAGCGCACTCATTCATATGCTGGTTTCGCGACAACATTGTGGAGTCATGTTCAGAGCAACAGAAATCGGTTTAACTTGAGTATTACAATGCAGAACGATACCATTTTTTATTTGAAAACGTATCCTTCTGGAGCTATGACTCATTCAAAATACGAATGCGTGTAAACGACATAAATAATTAAATCCATCACACAAATAATACAAAACAAAACTGTTTGAGTACAGTGGTTTCCTTAACACTTTCACGCAGAAAGAAATTATTAATGCTGGTGAAAAATGATATGAGTTAATGATTGTGAGGAAAAGCTTTCGTAAGAAGAGCTTTCAAAAGAGTCATGCACGTAATAAACACTCGCAATTTCTGGAAACTTACAAACGCCGAGTTCCGCGTTTCATTCTCGTTCAGTTCTGATCATGAATTAAAAAGGGTTTTGTTCTTTCGGTGGATTCAAGAGATAGAGATTATTCTACTTTACTAAGTAAAATTCAACTGAACGACACCACATCTTGTTGGAAGGGAAATCCAGGCTCTAGTAGACTTTTACCCTAAATACAAGTTTAAAACGTGCTGTTTTAATCGATCGTTGACATCATCATTGATATTTTGTAGTATTTCCTGTGGGAGGCAAGGTGGTTGATAAAGATAGTTTGATAATGTAACCCGAGCACTTGTTGACGCAGTTCGATGACTCTGCTTTTATGCTCATACGGCATAGAATTTCATGCTTTGCAGACACTGCCAACGAGGAAAAAATTATGGTTTAACGTATGTCTTGGCAGTTATTGCGTCACGTTTACAAATTTTTTTCTCCCCTAAAACATACTGCCGCAACAGAAGAAAGTTTGATTTTTCTTTACATAACGATTTAAGTCTCTGACCTATTTCAGTTTGAAGGTAAATTTTTATTACCTAATACAATCAGGTTATATCAGAAGAACTGGAGACGTAAACGTATTTCCCTATGGACATCATTTAATGCAAAATATATCAATATGCCGACCCCTAAGGAAATGGGTTTTGAGTAACAAAGATGACTTATTATGATAAAAAACCGTGCACTACGGTATCAAATTAAAATCGACAATTTCAAGGAAGAGACTGACTAGTTTCCTCACAACAAACTATTTTAACCTCCGATTTAAGAACAATATAAACTGTCTGGTGACTTTCCCTCTGATAAAAAAGTTTTCTTGTCAAAAACCGACAGAGGTTAAAAAAATAATCTTGAAAGAGGATAAGGCTAACGCATGTGTACACGTACGCTAAGTTCTCAGGGGCATGCGTGTCCCTCGTTGCAGTCAAAGTACTGATCGTCTGCATATCGCTAATATATTAAAAACAATGTATTAGAAAATTTAGTAAATGCTTTTACAGCGAACTGTCCAAATATCATTTTTTAGTTCTATTTCTCAACATAAACACTGCGCTCGTGATCGCGAGAGAAAACAGCGGAACAAACAACAAACAACGTCAGTTCCATATTTACATTTTTACAATTTGTTTTATCTTCATTTCATGATATGACTTGCTTTAAAATGAACCATGCCGAGTGTCAATCCTACATTTACATTTTTGCGATAACTCACTTTCAATTATCAAACTGTTTTAAACCTGATCACTCCACGCAATGAAAAGTTTAACGAATGTTAAAAAGTCATTTCTTGATTGCCTTGATTCGGCGGTTTTGTTTGCTATCAGCCCTGATGATTGAGGTTGTCGGAGAGTTTAAGTTTAAAGATACTTTCTTTACAGATTGAAAACACATTGAACACTATCCCAGGATTTATCAAAAAGAATTCTCCCGACAGTATGAATACATTTTCAAACAGATATATGATGAGTAATAAGATAAATACCAGTTGGGGGATATTGTTTGATCAACACCAAAATTCTCAGGGCTAAAAGTTATAACAAATTATTGCAAACATTGCGGGGAAATTGTATATCGATGTTGCGCGTGAAAGTGTTAAGGAAACCACTGTACTTAAATCTTTATATTTCTTTTAAAGTATTCAAGATAATATAATATTAAAAATAAGGAGCTCGAGGTAAAATTAGAAAGGAACGAGGATGGCTAAGCAGACTGGTGTGTGAACTGCAAGAAATCAGTTTAAAAATTATGGGTAAAGTTGGGTAAGATCTAGATTTACAAACCTGTTAAGGACAAACAACTCTTTCCTTTTTTGATCATACAAAACAAATATATTTTATGTTGGGGTGGGTCTGTAAAGTAACAGATTGTAAAAAAACTGTTGTACGAACACCAGTTACACACCCGGCTGCGCCTCGTGTGCCAATTTTTTTGTTCTTACCACTTTTAAACTTCATCTGTGATTTATAACTGAACAAGCACACGGCATCGTAGGATATATTTGTTAAGTCGGCAAGTCCAACACCGAAAGGTAACAAAGTAAATTTCAAAAAAAACAAGCCACATCTTATAAAACAAGTGCCTTAAAACGATTTTATTGTTTATTGATATCAAACAATAGATACCACTGAAACCATACGATAAAAAGCTAAAAGCGAAAATGTAAATGTATACTTCGGCCAACACACACAAACAGACTGAAAACTTGAAAGAGTACACGATGATACCACACAAAACTCTGCTAGAGCGAGTGGTACCTGCATGAATGAGTCTCTGAGACTCCAGATACGTCCTTTAGCCTCGTGATCTCCACCATGATCCGTATTAGGAGGACTAAGTTTATCTTTAAAAAAACATTTCAAAGAGAGACAATGTCAGTTTTCCGTATATTACTGATTTCGATTTTTTTGTTTATCACTGGTTTCGAGTGTAAGGGCTAACGGTCAAACGTCAGCTTTAGATTCAGTTGACGGTGGCCATACACTTTATAAACTAAGTTGATGAAATAAAATTCTTGCAATTACCCCCACGTCACTGACGCAGCACCATGTCAGTTTCTTTAGAAACTTACCTCTTTTACTCTATTGTAGTGGGTACATAGGCTTAGAGAGAAAAAAAAAGTTGTGGATCAAACCTACATAGCACGCACCGGGTTCCTCTTTTGACTCTGCGGGTTTTTAATCTGGTAAAACCCTAGTTTGTGGCCATTCAAATAAATCCATCATGGCGTTCATCATTTGAATGCGACGATCAGAAGAATGAATGAAAGAACACCTATTTTGAGTTCTTCTCGTTTTCAATCAAACGCGCGGCAAGACGAGGGTGTGATATTTTTACTCACAAGTCTCACAATGGAGAAGTTGCGAATGTTTTTTTTGTTTTGTTTTATATTCTCTTTCGGAGAAAAAAAAATAGGTCTTGCTTGAACTAACATAGTTTTACGACGGATTCTAACAGTCTTCATTAAAAATTATAAAGCTATCAACAGTTTTCCCAAATATTCCCTTTGCAGAATGCGGACGTTATGACTTTATGTTTGTTTTCAATATAGCGCGAGAGCAAATTATGGGAGGCGATTGCGCCGCGCTTTATGCATACTAGGAAAATAGGATAACTTTCGTACCGCGGAATTTGATTGCCCAATAATTTGGTGGAGGAATCTGACGGCGTCAGTGACGTGATTGAATACACGTAACCTGTTGAAAAAAAAAAAAAAAACTAGCAGAACATGACTACGCGAAAAAAATTCTCACCCCCTGTTCTCACACAAATCAATATAGGTATCAATTCAGGATGTCGGCTTGTGTAAACACAAAAGAAATTGTGGTAGGAGATTATTCAGTTTTCCGTGCTTACGAAGCGCGAAATCTAAATATACTCGGATTGAACAGTCAAGTCAAATGGGAGAAATTGACGAGCGTATGCGACTGTTTCCACTCGCCATTGTTTTTTTAACTCCTTTCGTTGAATTGAAATACGGAAAGAGAATGATACCCATGAAACTAAATGAATTAACGACGCGCGAGGCTTCCGACGTTATTACCAGGTTTAAATCACACGCTAGAGGAAGGAGAATATGAGCCTATCTGCGCACCTCAGGAACAAAATCTTATTCACGCGGCGCGAAATTTAAATACACGCACATTAAGCAACGAGCAAATGACGATAGTTTTCTACATGATTCAACGGCGCGGTAAGCTTTGGACGTTAATACCAGGTTAAACATGCTCTCATTACCTTTGCATCGTACAGTGAGCCTCTAAGTGAATATATCTTTCGCCAGTTTTAAGCAATATATAGGAAAAAACAGTGACTCTTCAGATACGAAAGCTACAGTCGCCCCACCATCCACCCCACCGTGACTATTTGCATCCCACGGGGAGGATTTGTCTTATCGTCAGTTTTGCCGATGGTTTAAATCTGCCGCTTGTATGATACTAGGAAATTTTGAAAAATCCCGCGTGTATTTTGAAGCTCTTTCCGCCATTGTTCCAAAGTAGCCGTATACGGTCATTGTTAATCGTTTAACAAAGCCTGCTGTAATCTAAGCTGATCCGCTTTTCTTGGTACGTTTTAACAGACACAGTGCATATTTTACTCACCATACATGCAAGAAGTACTGATCCAACACCTACACGTACCTCTCGAGGCTGTTTACCTAAGATTTGCCTATAAACGCCGCCATTTTGGATCTTCTTTAGTAACCGCGCCTCCCACCCCTAACATGACAAAGTCTTGCTCCTTTTCAACTCGTGAATTGCGCGCATGCGCAAGAGCGAGTTGTAGATATGATGTGGAGAATGGCACTCGCTCGCTGGCTCGATTGGTCGATTCCTGTAAAACTTTTTTTCGATTTTAGGCTTTTGAGTGCATTTGATAGTTTTTGGCGTGTAATAAACAAACGAAATGGCGACCTTTGTTGCTAAGAATAGTGGTGGGGTGAAAACGAAGCTAATAATAATCTTAAAAGAGTTTTTTTTTTCGTTTTAGTTTGAACAAGCGGCGCCAGTGATTGGCAGGCGTGCAAGGATTCACACTGAAATAATAGATCAACCTTCGTTTTTCATAAAATTGTAATTTACAATCCTTGAACTTGAAAACAATCCGAAGATTCATTAAAAGTATCACTTACTCCGAAGCGCTCGGAGTTTACAGGTGTTCAAAAGCTTTTTCTGTTATGGCGTAAGATTGGGGACAAAATCGATCATTACATTTCGTATTGTGTGTTTTTTCTGTGTCAAGCAACAAAAGGTGCCGGCGACTAACGAAATTACAGGTTAACCCGAAAATCAAATAACACCTACCGATTTTCAGTGAATTTTTAAAGAACAATTTTCTTTTAAGTTTCAAGACAATTTGAAGATTCAAAATAAATATTACGTACTAAAATGCAAAAGTTATACACCACAAAATTGATATATAGGCCTGAAATGAAATTCTATCTTGTTCTTGATTAAACGTTGCCTAGCACGCGACCAAAATCTACCCAGGCGGAAATCCAAAATGACGGTGGCAGTTTGGGCTTAGTTATATCACTCAAAACTCGTTCCCGTTTGTCTCATTTGATAAAGAGGGAATCACTAATGTTTTCATTAAGACAGTATTGCCTTGATTTTCCAATATTTACAATGATAGACAGTAAATTTCACTTTTCACCCACATTTACTTCCAACCTTTTCTTTTGAACCAGAAACAAAAATGATATATGTTTAAAACACATGACATCATCCACCCTTGTCAAATGTAATAGCATGATCATTTCAATTGTAATGCCTTCTTATCCCAACGTTACTTTGTTTCTTTGCTACATTAGCGAACACTGAACTACTGCTCGTACTCAAAATATGACAATCAACCAAAAAATTCCCTAAACCAGATAACATTAAACATAATCCAAAAAATCATGTAAGTAATCTGTCAATTCACGAGTTTGCTCACAGAGCACTTTGATTTGTAACATTTTGTAACACCACTTGGCGATCTATCTAAGCAGCTGCTAGGAGTAGAGCAACATGAAAGGACATTTTTTCTCCTATTGTGGCTTTGTTTTGGCTCTTATTTTCTTTTGAATAATGGCGGCATGGTTGTCGACTTCTTTAACATTTATGGGGAGAATTTCGAATGGTTAAATCTCTTTAATGTTTGATTGAGCAGTGTTGCATACAGAGAAATTAGATCCCAGTCACTCCTAAGGATTTAAGAGTTAAAAAAATGATGTTGGAAAATGTACAGACGGATTTAGTGAACGCTCGGAGGAGGTAGCCTTGTGATAAATGCTATCTGCTCTTTTGATGTTGTGTTATGACTCAGCTCCTTTTTAGTTTCTTCAGGGTCTATTTGCCGCTTCCGCTGGCCACCGTACTGTGCATACACCTCTGCCTGACTACGACCGGAAGAGCTCCTGTGAAATGTGTTGAATCTCCATTTCAGCATTTTGTGACGGAAAGCTGCACGAACTTCACTGTTTCTCAGCACGAGCAAGAGAAATATGAGCATACCCTACAAAAGTAAAAGGAAATCTTGCGTTTGACAAAGTTCCGTCATTGAACTATAATTCCTTGTATAAATTTAATTTTTAATCCGATGAAATAAACAGACTGTTTTCTTAACAGAAGGCTTCGTGATCCAAATCGATAAATAAAGTGTGGGATTAAAATGGTTTTCCCCGGACAGAGCCCTCTTATACTCAGACCCAGACCCATTTGACCAAAGCGACATGCGTATACGTAATTGGTACAGACCTGCGTAGAGTTAAGAATGGTAAAAACATACTGGAACACCAATCCTGCGTCTGTTACAGCCAAGAGACCAAATACCCAGGTTAAACCCAGCAGAGGACTTAAAATAAGAAATGACTTCAGAGTTTTTCTAAAAGGGAATAAAACGAAAAACTGCTTTCACGTTACAATTTTCTTCTGAAGATATACCATGCCATATACATTTCGCATGGAAAATTATTTAATTGGAATCAAGAGAAATCGTTCGAACTATCTATTTAATCATGAGTGAATAATGGAAAAGATTCTCTTTTGCGAATAATCCATGAAGGTCCAAGGAAAAAAGACAAAACGATTTCATGTCAAACTACTTCATCTAAGACTTCATGAAAAAACAACAACAACAACAACAAACAGATCTCCTAGCTGATTAACCTTTGATTTAGGTAAATTTAAGAGCTGTACGAGCACAAGTTCATAATTCTGCTAGAAAGTTAGTATTTCATTTCTGTAAGTAAAAGAGAAGGCATATTTTGAGGAAAGATGATCATTGGGTGGCATTTTGCCTCTGAAACTCCAAGGAGAGATCTTCCTAACAAAAACATACCTGAAGGTCTTCATTTTAGAAGGATTAGGCTCATGAAGATTTCTGATTTCTCGCAACACCGCCATGAGTATTACAAAGTTGATCTTAACAAATGAGAATAGCAAAATAAAGACTTTTACCAATTGTCTAGAGGGCAATCATAATAGATGTGTCACGAAGTCGGTCAGCCAGCCAGTTAGTCAGTCAGTCAGAAAATGATGCACGCATTCATTAATTCTGTCATTTATTGATTTCCTCTTTCATTTATTCATTTATCCATTCTTCGTGTTTGTCATTTCCGGCTATCAGCTAAGATAACAGTGAAAGCAAAGAGACGGTGGACTTACAATTGTCACAAATAACACCGGGACAATAAAGGCCCAGCTCAAACGCTTCTGGAAGGACAACCAGCAGCTGAAAGTTAATTCAGACGACAGAGCTGTCTAAAAACGCAGCTTATGAGACATTATCTAATGAAAATAAAAAGTTATAATGAAGAATAAAACGCTGTGTACTTACAAGTTTTCATTTGTGTAACTCTCAAGTCCTTTTTCACCGCTTGAGCCAATTATTAGAGAAATAACTATTGGTATGATAGGGAAACCTATAGGATAAGAATGAAAGCAGCTCAATAACTCAGTAACACATAGGCCTACAAGAGTCTAAAATATAAAAATCAGCTCAACAGGTTCAGGGAGCACTACAAAAACAATAACAACGAAAAAATAACAACAACAATAACAACAACAACAACAACAACAAAAGTAAAACAACAACAACAGACAAAATACGGTCAACCAGAATACAAGAAGGCCCGTTCCTATCATGCGTTGCAGCGGTTGTACTGGCCTCAGTATTCTCTTCCACGTGAAATATGCATCGCTTTCTAGAGCTATACCAAGTAATATCCCTCTTTTCAATTGTAGCTAATAATGACTGGTGCGATATTTTGTGGTATACAAGTAGATATCATCGTCAATATTTTCATCACCGTAGCAATGATATTGTTACATTTCTTACCCCAGCCAAAGAAATAGAAGTATCGCATGTCCACTGTGTTGAATACCTCAACAATCATTACGTACAGGAAAACTCCCTCCAGAAGCATCCACCCAAACGCTGCCAGATAGAAGTAATGGAGTAAAACAGCCACTAAGATGCACACGGACTGAAATGTGAGACCCAGAAGTAGGCTGATAATTAGAGGCTCCGAGAAAATATCAGGCCAAGAGACTTTGTACTTCATAGAGATCTTAGACCAAAATTGGTTCCGGACAAGGGAACTCGATCGTCTTCTAGAAATACGCAATAGTGTAGACTGAAGTAACGAGAGCCAACTATCTAGCGACAACATGTCTCGAAATTTCTAGTAGAACCTCTCTCTCAATGTTGTACATACACCGCCGTATGGGATGCTCAATTTATCCTGGAGAGATTCGAGAGGATTGGTTTTCGAAACGGGAATTACGTGATGCTATCTCAGTAGTGATCACCTTGGGCAGACGGCCATTTAGGGAACACCGTTGTTCCTCGCTTACGAAGAACGAAGAAACATGTGATTTCAAACGTTTGTTAGCTCACCTTATTACTCGTGGCATCGATTCCGGACAAAAATACTAGTTGAGCGAGAAACAGAGCTGTGCAAAGATTTAGCCTGACTTGGATTCCTTCGTCTTTGATCTTCCTGTTTAAATGCATTCAATAAACGAAATGGGCATGACATTTTTCCTCGCAATCACCTAAAAGTGCCTATATAGTTTGTAATATATTATTGGGTCGTTCTCTGCTTGTATTCCATTACTATGAAAGATGTTTAAAAGTTGATTTTAGTAGGTATTTTTGTGTCAAAATACCTCAACTTCAGCCGAAAAAAAAGAGAGATTTTGGTGCAATGGTTCCTCAATTACTAATCTCGTCTTAAAACAAATTTTTTTAGAAACAAAACAAAACCAGACAACTAGCGCGTTCTGCAAAATAATATTTCTCGCACTTTGATAGTAATTTACGAATCTAGAGATTTACCTTGCTCTCATGTATAGGTAAGACATTTTTTCCTCTTTTTTTGCTTTTGTTTTTTGTTTTTTAGTAGTACTCACATAAATGTCACGTAGACGAAGATGACCATTACTTCCCCAACGAGGGACAAGGAGCAACCGATATAAGTGATGATAAGCAATGCCCTTCTGTGCTCTGGTGGAATGTTATCCTCCTGAGAATCACGAAAATGAGATAAAAATTGGAAACTGGTTTGGAAATTATGATTAACAAGTTATGACTTCGTTAAACATGGAACTTTCTATATGATTAGTCCGTCCATAAACGAATAAAGGGGGAGAATGCAATAAGCTTAGAAAATGCCAAAAAAAAATTCGAGACGCAATCACGGGAACGACAAATAACCTTAGGAGGATGTGCATAAGCGACGCACATATTTTTTTTCTTAGTTCCCGAAAAAACTAATTAAGACAATTGAAAAGAACGTTTATAACATCACACCTTAATGTCCTTGTATTGCATTAGAACTGCGAAATTCGTAAGGTGGTTACAACTGCAAACGGTCGATAGCATAGAAGAATCATTCAGTACCGTGCAACCATCAGTTGACCATGAACCGTTCGACGAGCTAAAAATCAGTTGATCATAAAATTTGAATAAGAAAGAAAGAAAGAGGCAAAGAAAAAAATAAAGAACTTTCACGAGCACCTAATATAAACAAGTATATAGATATATATACAAACAGATTGATGGAATAATCAAAATGACCTACCTGAAATCCTCTATCCAGAAGACACATTTCCTTTCAACAGCTTTTGGATCAATGCTCGGCTACCGGCGAAAGAAGCGTAATGACGTTATGATGGAAATGGTCCACGTGATGAATTATACTACTTTTTCCATCTAAGCCCAGTTACAATCCTAATTCTCTAGCTGATAATTGCATCAAAAAACAATATAGTTTATTTTACCTCGTTGTGACTAAAATGAATGATGATTTTATTTTGAATAGTTTCATTCTGGGGAGGGTCAAGAACAACTCCCACGACATCAGAGATCAGTCTGTAGCTACAAAGACAACATAACAAAATTGTGTGATTATTAGAGAAGTTGAGTGTCAAATATCCAATCCGGGATTGTATATTTTTGCTTCGCTCTGCATTGTGATTTTTCTGGAAAACTTGCACCACTCTCTCAAACAATCGCACGCAAAACTAATAACAACAATTATTTTGTCCTCTGCGTTTTCCCTTAAGTTGAATTGGGCAGTTTTCTTGGTTTTATTTTGAGTTCTCATTGGTTACTAAGGGTATTTTTGGTTTTAGTTTGAGTTCTTATTGGTTACTAAAGGGTATTTTTGGTTTTAGTTTGAGTTCTTATTGGTTACTAAAGGGTATTTTTGTTTTTTGTTTTACGACACTCAATCAAAAAATGCTCGATCTCATTAGTAGCTAATCTTACATGAATATAGATCCTGACATTGCCTGACCATTCCCTGCCATTTTCCCCTCAAGAATCTGACAACGTTAATTTGAAAACTGAAAACCTAAAGTTCAAAGGAGCTTTCTAAATATAAAGTGCTGTTTACCGGTACCGGTAAAGTTTTAGCATTTGAAAATCTCCTCCTATTTACGCCCTCCCTTGAGTCGCTATTGAAGAACAAACAATTCCAACAGTAATTTTCCACTCATCCAGAAAGGGCTCTCTTAACACACACCTAATGGGTTCATGTGAACTAACGAATTCGTACCTGCTTCTGTTATAAGTCCAAAGGCTGTCTTCATTACTTGCCTTCTGGTGCAACAATACTGCGATAACCCTTCCTGGAAGAATGGCCGAAAAAAAAAAAACTACGTGAGTAGAAGCTTGCCTACAGAACACAAATGATAACTTCGCTATTTTTTAAACACCAGATGATCATAAATGTGTGCGCTCAGAAGAAACTTCAATATTTACCTGCGTCTTTAAACACTTTGTGGGTGATAATAATTCTGACCAATCGGCTTTCATTACTGTTGTTATTTGTATCAAAACTTATTTCAATATCAGTGGAAATTCCTTTCGGCACTTTTCTCAACTTAGTATCTAAAATATTTCAGAGAAAAAAAATCAGAAAATTAGTACATAGAGAATGACGAACTTTACCAAATAAGCCTTTTATCGTGGGCTATGACGCGACAGAATTCGTGACGTGATCCAAGATGGCGGCCATCATGACAGCCACATTTGGAACCCATTTCAAGACAAAAAGTAGGCTTTATTTTGGCAGCAATCGTCTCGGAATTTGATCTTAAGCGACCGAATGATTCAGAGGATTTTCAGAAATATTTCATTGAGTTGACTTAAAATCTGACGGGTTTATTGAAGAGGACTCCTATTTCTTTTGTCGTATGTCGTACGTTTTTACCATACCATATCATTTTTATCAATGATACAGAAATTAAGACCCATGTTGACACAATAGGTACTTACCCAAACCTGATCCCATATCTATGAAATAAATATCATTCCCTTCTCTACAATAGTTTTGACAGCAGTTCAGGAGTGTGTCCTCGATTTGGCAGCTACCGACCAATGTACTATTATGCTCTTCACAAGACCAGGAATATTGTAACGCCTTTGATACAACAGGAGAAGCATGAACAGTTAAAGGGTTAATTTTGCTAAATACAACCAGCTGAATTGGAATAGTTTGCTTAAATTGAAATCACAGATGATGTTCTATTTGGTTGGGAGTAAGAATACTTTTTTTTAAAAGTGTATGAATGTATTTTACCTGCAATTTTGAACGAGTTCCTTTACTTCGTGAGCACTTTGAAAGCTGCATGAAAAAGAAAACGTTTGATTGGAGTCAACTTATGAATTCAACGCATAATATTGGTAAATCTTAATTTGTTCGCGAATACATAAACCACTGAATAAACCATGATCTTTATTTACCAGATATTGGCGGCAATCATCTGTATAATTAGGCATAATACCATTCGGATCGGAATCATCTATAATTGTTAAAGAAAAATGAATGATTAGCAATGGGGTCAGTTTTGTTTGCTACACCTCGGTG